GATGTGTTTTGTGACCTCGTCTGATAGTCTGGTATGCGTTGAACAGATATGTCACAGCAGCGTGTAGTGGCGCCAGATAGACGGACCGAAAGCACACACCACTTCTACTACTACGATGACGTAGACTACTGTACGAGCTAGTACCCTCGGTCGGCTCACCAGCCCAGCGGGAAGGAAGTCGAGGATCGGGGCACACAATGCGCCCGCCGCGGTCGTCGCTGTCCAAGTCCCCGTCGTGGCGATGAGCAGCACCTGTTTCGTCGAAAAAATACAAAAAAAGTTCAGAGACGAAAAGGTAGCCAAAGCAGCTGCCCAAACAACTCAAGAGGGGTTAAGGGTTATCCGTCATATCCGGGCCCATAACGGCGCGCATCCGGTCAATGCACAGAACGCGTAGGAAAATAAAACAAGGGGGGGGAGGGGCTCCGCGACACCCACCAGGATCCTGGCCACTGCGCCGGCCCCGGCGACAAGGGTTGCTGCTCCCCGCCACCATGCCACGGAGGCGTGAAGCCAGCCGGGGGTCTTAGTCAGCCCCCTCCCCAGGTCGGACCACGTCCAAAGCGACCGCGCCGCCGCCGCCCTCCACGCCGCCTTGCGTCGTCGCCGTCGCCGTCGCGTTATATTTATGATTTTCCACATGGCGGAACAAAAAGAATCGCGCCAAAAAATGTTCGATTGGATTGTAGGTGCACATGGGTGTGTGTGAGTTACATTTATCTCACCTCCTCTGCCAACGGCCGTGTCGTCTTGTCTGCCTTCTAAAGACGCAGGAAATAGGACCGGAAAAATGAAGGTGCGAACTAACTTCAGAACAGCATAAGGCACGGGCTCCCACGGATTGAATTTCAAGCACAGGATGCTGTGAGGGCTTCGTACTGCTGGCGCTTCGCCGCGGACACAACTCGATGGCCGCATGCTCTTTGTATGCGCACGGTGCTCCACGTACAATGAACACTGAACACCAGATCCGATGTGCCGTTTTTCTCGCCTTGTGAGTTATTTACATGCAGGTTTGCACCCCCCATATCACGGTCCTGCGGGAAACAATGTCCTGTCCTCTCGATGACGCATGGTCACGCCAAGGCATGAAAAACATGAATACGCGCCCCCCCCTCTCCATCACCGATAGAAAGAAAAGTACCTGAAGCACAACGGCAGATATTGGCTTGCCCGCCACCGCTGCTAGCACCGCGCACACCCACCCGCTGGATGCAATAAGGTACGTCTGTACAACGTTGCGGCACTCCAGCGTGTCGTGGTGCTCTGCCTCCCTCCTCGCCCACCACCGTAGCACAAGAGGGGCCACGATTAGAATAAGCGCGGACAGGATGGCCTCACGCCGCACTTGGAGCTGTAGGTTTTCACACGGGCGGCGCGCGGCGGGAAGGGGTGAGGTGAGCTCCGCTTTGTCATCTATGCGTAAACTGCGTTCCAAAGGCGGAGGGAAATGCGGTTCCTGTGAAGGCTAGGCGCGGGTTTTGGGTGGGGGTTCGCCCGCCACTCGGCAGGCAGGCGCATCGAGTGCGAAGCACGTTGGGTGCGACATGTCTTGCAGCGCAGTCTCGCGCGATGTCGTTGACAGGCAAGGGGGGCGGGGAACAAAAGACGCGCTCATCTAGTTGCATGCGATGGCCGAATAGGCGCCTGCCCCGCAATCAACTAAGGCAGGGCGACGTGCGATTCTCAGCAACCTAGCTTTTGTGTACTTTCCTGTTTGCAGCTCCGTGAGGCTTGTTAAGCACCTTGCGGTGCAACCTCTGGACTGCATACGAGCGACGAGCTGCGACAGCAAGAAACAGGCGCGTGCGATCAAGAGCACACCTACTTGCCCCGACGATCACATCGCAAAACGCGGTCTAGCTCGTGTGTGTGTGTGTGTGTATTTGCCTGTGAGAGAAATCACAAGGTCTATACTCCCACCAGCAAGGGTAATACCCAAGTTCCCCCCTGGGGTAAGTACAAGGGTCGTTCGCCCGCGCGTGATGCATCAGTGGCAGCATTCATGAAGACGATAAGCAGTAAGCAGCCAGTGCCTGAATCGATGGTTCGCCGTCGCTCAACTACCATGTGGTATTGAAAGTCATCGCCGGTAAGCATATGCATACACCGAAATACAATTGCTACGCATAAACCCGAAGCAATGGCTACGTGCAACGAGGCAATGAGTCCAAGATCTTCAGGGGGGCATGTGTGCTGACCTGGACAAAGGAGAGGGCCGACTTGGTGACGCGAGTCGTCGCCGACATCGTCCTCGCCCCAACTTCCAAAACCGGCCCCGCTGCCGCACCTCCGGCGGACTTTGCGACGACTGGCTGCTGGAAGGGCCACCACAGCCACGGCACCAGCACAAGCCCCGCGTGCTTGAGTTGAGCGGGTGGCCGCTCTGCCCCCGCCACCGCCGCCGCCACCACCGCGGCGGCGGCTGGCCTTGTTGTTCGTGATGGCGGCGCTCTGGCTTCACGGACGCGGCGCAACAACGTACGCGCAGCCGCGAGCAATGTGGAGGAAAGTAGCGGTTGTTGTTGCTGAAGCTGCTCCTCGCGATGTCTCTCCCGCGGAGCGCTGTCACGCAACGCGCTCGCAGGCAGTGGCGGTGGCGTCGACCACGGTCCCGCCCGGGTCAACGACAACGGCGGTCTTCGTCTGCTCCGGCCGCCGTGCTTGACGTTGACGTATTCCTTCGGCCGCAGGCTGCTGGTGCTGCCGGTCGGGAACGCTGTGGCCCTGCTGTTGGTTGGGAACGCTGCCGCCCAGTGGCTGGTGCTCAACGCACCAGTGGATCCCATGCAGCTCACATGGGACGGAGCGGCAGCGGAACAGAAGGCGAGGGCCGCAACGCTCGCCATGGATCTACACGATGAGATGGCTCTCCTCGAAAAACACGCACGTTTGTTGCGTCGCGGGGGGCCGCCGGATGGGATGGGTGTTCATTTTCAGCCCTGCGGCGTTTGCGTGCACTGGGGTTGTGCCGCATTCGAACTCTGTTCGAACAAGGAACGAGCGAACAACCAAGGAACGAACAGGGCGTTAGCAGCTGGTTTGGCAGGCCGAGCTTGTTTCCATATTCGCCGGAGAGAACGAGATAGAGAGAAAGAGAGAGAGAGAGAGAGCAGGGCACCGCGTCCAGTGCGGAAAATACGAACGCGTGAACTACTCACTAGCCAGGCTGCCAGGGTTCAACTATTGTGGGTGGGTGTGTCCTGGAAAGAGTTCCAATAGTCTACTCGATTCCCATGCGAGTTGCAGGAGACACTAGACACGACCATTGCAAGGACCATTGCACACGGCATCACGGCATGGGGTTGCACTTGGACCAGATACAACGTTCCGGCGCCCCCTGCTAATGGCTTTCATACGCACTGCGCACCCAGATACAGCGTGCTTGCTTCTCTACACAGCTTGAACAGAAACTGGCAACGTACCAGCTGCGGCATCATGCCCCGGCCGGCAGCAGACGCACGAGTTAGCACCCAGCGGAGGGTCGCCGGTTTTGTGCACAGAGCGCCGGGCTGTCGTACAATAACGGGGAAAGGCTGGGCATGCGTCCGAGGAATTAACACTATAGTTCAGCCCACTCGAAACTATCCATCACCATTGCATCATAAGATGTTGTTCAGAGGTGGAACTGTGCTGTGACCGCAAGACGCGGAGCGATGCACACCCCCTGCAGACCGACTTTCAATAGCGTGATTGCTCCACAAACAAGTGGGTGCGGTAGGAGCTCGGTACGCCTACGGAAAGCCCTCGATGATGTACTTCCAATACCTCAATTACCGGTATTGTCACAAGCTTGGTTGTGGAGCAATCGATCTTTGAAAAATGGTCTAGTGGGGCCAATGAGTAATCGATCTTTGAAAAATGTTCTAGTGGGACCAATGAGTAGGTGCTTCAAGGGTTGCTGGGGGGCGTTTTTTATTTTATCACGGACAAACGAGCTCGACCACCACGCGTGCGACTCGGCGGATGCACAAGATGTTCTTCATGTTCCATAAATTCAGGACGGTGAGCACTCTCTGCCCTTCACGCTTGCATGCGGAGTGGGAGCTGAGCAGGGAAGCATCTGCAGGTCGTTGATCGACAAAATCATCCCCGCCACGCGACTTTTCGTGTTGACGCATATGAACATCGGGTAACCATCTCGTATCTAATACCGCGATGCACCGACAATTGTAGAGGGCAGAGTATTATAGTTAGATCTCCCGGTGCAACAACCCTTTAAGTTCGGTGCCGGCGGTTGAACGAAGGTGCTGAATACGATGAATATGGCCGTTGCCGTTAGGTCGGAAGGTGGTGCTCGATACATGTGCGGAATGCCGGTTTTCCTGCCGTAGTTTGCTCAAGATGTCGCACCCTCTGGACCGATTTTCAAACTACAACCTCAACCACCGAAGAGGATGTCATAATCACATGATTCGTGGTCCGAGAGCCCTCCATGAGACGGTTCCAACGCCAACGTCGTCGGCACCGTCGCTGTTTTTGCTGCCAAGTAATCGAACTATGCGAATCGGTTGGGGGGGGGTATCGAACGCGACCTAGGGTGTCCGCACAATACAGAACGAAGATCTGGACGATTGTATACAAGCCGATAAAATCTTCGCGGAGTACCTGCAGTTGATGTATCCGCACAAGCTTTGACGAACACAAACACACACTTATAATTATGACACACACACCTACCTGCTTGCAACCCTGTTTGTGTCTATCGTCTGTGAACTCTATCCCTCTCTCTCTCTCTCTCTCTCTCTCTCTCTCTCTCTCTCCCTCTCTCTCTGTTTCCAACCCCCCCCTGCGGCCGGCCCTCCCCCCCANTTCCAACCCCACCCTGCGGCCGGCCCTCCCCCCCACCCCTCGTGGTTTTCCTCGGGCTCTTCTGCTGCCGTTGCCGTTGCTCCTGCTGCCTTGTTCTTGATACACTGCTGTGGCAATCAATACCCGTCCCGCTTCGGTCAACCGACAACACCAACACACGTTCGTCCGACGGGGTTTGATATTTGCTGATGCCAGCTGGAACCACCGGAAAGGATCCCGTGCGGCGCCGCGGGAGTAGGATAATCAAGCCTTGGAAGGACGGGTTCGCCGTGCGGCAGCGGCAGCACCACAACGACCATCTCTCACCCCGCGCTATGGCTTCTTCTCCGCCTGGCAGGTGTGTCATGTGCCGTGTTTTCCAGAGGGGGTTCCTTGTGTTCTTGGACCGGGAGTGTGGTGTGGGATTCGATTGATCCCCCGGTTTCGACTACTTCGAGGTATAGTTGAAGTCAAATTTAGACGATGTTGTGCCACTGGAGATACACCGATTCCCCGAGAAGCAGCCAGAAGGGAGGGGAGAAAAGAGCAAGGAATGCCCTGCGTGTCAAGTATGCCAGATCGTCGAACAGTAGCTATGTGTCGTTTTTGGAGTCGGAACGACTGGTATTTCGCGTCGAACAGGGGAAAATGCGTGAAAACGTCGAAACCGCCGTCAATTCTCTTCACACCGTAGCAAAGAACGCGCTGCGTGTACAAAGCATGCCAGAACGACAGCAGATTTGTCTGGTTGTTTGGAGTCGCAACCAGCGATGTTCCGTGTCGACAAGGGAAAACGCGTGGCCACTGGTCAAACTTCGAAATCGCCGGTAACCCCGTCGCGGCCGCCTTTCACCGCGCGCGTGCCAACAAACCCTCAGCTCGGAGCGGTCCAGCCTCCTGGCCAACGCCACCAGCACCAGCCTGACCCAGCCTTTCATGGCCGGCTACAACAACGGCGGGAGCCCGTCGTCCCCCGTATTGCCCGCTGACGCGGCCTTGCCGCCGTCGATACCCCGCACGGCCTCGGAGCTGGAAGCGGCGGAGGAGGAGAGACAGGAGGCGGTGGCCGCCCAGGCGAAGGTCCCCGAGGCTCCTCGAGCGCCCCTCACCGGGAAGGGCCTGCTGGCCCTGTCGCTTGCCACCGTGTTCGGCTACCTGTGCATTGGGGTCCTGGTGTACACGACCCTCGCGGGGATGAGCTTCTTGGACGCGCTGTACTTCTGCGTCGGTAGGGCGGGCGTTTCGTGTTTTTTTGGTCATTCGGAATGTTAGTTTTTCGCGGTTTTCGCACAAAGTGCGTCGGAAGGTTTTTCATCGTTACCTACTATGTTCTTGCACGTCTTGTCTTTTGCGTTCCCAAGTATTTCGACCCTCGAAGTGGCCTTCTTCCTCTCGTCACCACGGGCGGACAATAGCATTCGCCACCCAGGCCGCGGGCGCCCCCCCCTCCCCACCTACGATGTTCCCGATTTTATTCGCACTGGTTTGTTCTTTTTCTGTGTCGCTGACATTATTGTAGTTGCCGGTCAGCCCAGACGACAGACTTGACGTCAGAGTTACCAAACCTGTTATGTATCCCCGCGCATAGGTTTCTTTTCATTCCCAACATCGTCTCTGGGGCGCTCCTATTCACAGATGAAGCACGGTAATTTGACGGACCAAAAAGAATCAAGGCCGCTTCCCACCCACCCGGCTGCGTCGAGCAACCGAAAAGAGCACATGATCACAACACCGATAACCCTAACCCTGACCCTCACCGTCAATCCCGTGTTGTGCTGGCGCAATCGCTTTTTTACCTTCCAGTTACCCTGACGACCGTGGGCTACGGGGACCTGAGCGCTCACAAGCCGGTGACGAAGCTGTTCGCTTGTTTCTACATCCTCATCGGCGTGGCCATGGTGGCGGCCTTTCTGTCCAAGCTCGTTGAGCTCCTCTTGGACAAGCAGGCAGGCCGCCGTCTTAGCATGATTCGGGGGATGGTGGCATTGGTTGTGTAGCTTGCCTGCCTCCTCTTGCCGTTTTGCTACTTGATCGCGCTCACCTATGTCGAGAGACCGGACGCCGCGAGATAGCCCCTCGTAGTTGGTGCCCTTCACGCTTGCCACGTTGTGCATGGAATTCAATGAACCGAGAATGGCTCAGTTGGCGATACCGAATTCTATGCCATGACGGAGGGCTATATTCTTGATTTACAATTGAAATTGGGCTCCCAGGAGTTCTTTAAGCTGTCCTTCCTTCATTCGTTCGACTAGTTTTCAGCGCATCGACCTGTTCGAGACGAAAAACCGTTGGTTTTCCTGTTCGATCAACCCCCGACTTCCGGCGCGCTTTTAGTTTTTGGCGTGCTTGGTCAAGGAGTATCTAGCTGATCGGCGGCAGGGGGGGGCGCGGAGGAGGGTTGAGCTACGGGGTATCGTGCGTGGCGATGCCAATAACGGCCAACATGTCCCGCAGAGAAAACGCGGCACAAATCCGCTCGCAGGGCGTTGCGTCGCCGAAACCACGCCTCGTCAAATGGATAGATACCGTAGCTTTCGGTTGTCGATCGAAGAGCTGCCTGGGTATCCTGACCTAATACCACCGAGTGGACTCCCGACGGCGACGATGCCCCCTCCGATCGTACAACGCACCCTCCCGTTGAAATGCATGATTTGTTTTTGTTTTTTCGAAACCCTTGTGTGTGACCCGCCCCGTGATGACTATGTTCTCTCCGCAGGAGGACGTTCTCGTGAACCTCCTGACCAAGAACAGGGCGCAGGCCATGGGTGTGGATTATCCTGACACCGCCATGAAGGTAAAGCTGTGGGTGGTCGTTGGGTGAGAGGGCCGGAACCGAAAACAACACTCCTGCGTGCAATTCGTCCCGTTTTGTGGCCTCCGCACACCCACACACTATTGGTTACATGTCCATTAAAAGACGTGGTTTGTAGTCACGGAGGGGCGAGAAGTGCATCGTCGTGAGACCCGCGTGCCACCAACCAAATGGATTGCACGGTGCAGCGATGACGATCGGCGTTCATTTCTTCCTACGGGGTACAGACACAGTGGGGGAGCGGCGCGACCAACGGCGGCACACCCGCCGCCCAGCAGGACACCGCTGGCGACAACGACGACATCGCCTTGGTCAATAGCATCAATGTAAGGGCAAAAACGCGGAGCTAGCTCGCTAGCTACGACTGCTGCCCTCCCGTGCGCGAACGACTCTGCCACTGGTCCGGTGCAGCGATACGACGGCCGAGAAGATGAAACGGCGGAACCCCCTCGATGTTTTTTTTTTCATTTTTTCTTGCTTTTGAGATATTTTCGACAAGCGGCCGGTCCTTCCGACTCCGTCTGCGGCGATGATGCACACAAGCGCGCTCGACTCCGAGTTTCTCGGGAGGTCGACTGCAAGCAAAACAGCGACATGCGCTATTGATTTGGGCTACACGAGATATTCTGCGCTGGGCCAGCAACCACGGCATTCATGCCTTTCCCACCTCACTTACGCGCGATCCATGAGCCTTCGGCACGGACGACACGCGAACCGCCGAATCAACGAGCCCGCTCCCCCCCTCTCTCCAAGAGTTGATACAAGGGACAGGCGGACTGGCACAATCTTTGGTTCTGTGTGGTTTGATTTTTCTCTCTCTCTCTCTCTCTCTCTCTCTCTCTCTCTCTCTCTCTGTGTCTGTCGCCCCGGACTTGTTATTTTCCTGGGTCAACCGTCATGTCGCCACGACGACGATCGACCGGGCAGGTGGAGGTGGGCCTGGGCGTCTTTTACTTTGTGCTGCTCGTGGGGGTGGGCACAACGGTGTTCATGGTATACGGCCACATGTCGGTGATCGACGCCTTCTACCTGACGGTAGTGTCCTCATCGACGGTGGGCTATGGTGAGAGTCGCCGAGCAGAGCCTTCATCTGCGATCCAGTTGAAGGGCAGTTATAATACGTGCTATTTCTTGTATTTGTTCAGAATTTTGGTTCTTTTCATTCTGGTCAAGTTTGTTGGTTGTTGTTGTTGTTGTTGTTGTTGTTGTTGTTGTTGTTGTTGTTGCCTTTATCAGTGTGTGTCGGATTTGTTATCGGGAGAATCACGCCGTTTTTTGACATTCTCATGAATTTTCGACCGATTGCTACAGGCGACTACTTCCCGTCTTCGACCGGGACACGGTTGTTCGCCATTTTCTTCCTGCCGTTGTCCACCCTGCTGCTGGGAAAGGTTATTTCGGATTACACCGAGGTAGGTGCTCAAGCCGGTCTGGTCAGTGTCGAAGACAGCTTTTGTGCTGGTATTGGGAGAATCAAAGACAAAGCTACGTTGATCGTTGACGGGTGTTGGGGTTTGATAGTTGGAAATGCGCCGTTTTTTGCATCATACCAAGTTTTCCGGGGCTCGCGTTTGCGTAGCATAACCTATCTGGATGTAAATGTGCGCTTGATGTTTGGAGCTTTCCGCTGTCAAGGTCGTAAGGATAGACGTACGCGTCCTCCAAAACTGCTAATCAGAGTGTGCTGAGGCTGGGGTTTGACGCCCTGTAGGTTGTCGACTTCCACACTGTGGTGGGATTGAGGCACTACTGCGTTTTGCTTAGTTGGCTCCGTCGAAGACTTTCGGTGAAAAACGACGACAACGAAAATCGTCTCCTCTCTACTCTTCTTTGTACCCCCGCCCCCCGCCGCGCGGCTCCCCCGGGCGAGGAAGCCCAGATGCAGGCGAACAAGCGCGTAAAGCAGAGGCAGACGCGCCTCCTCCTGGCCACGGTTACAGCGCGTGAGTACTCGGCTATGGACGCGGACAACGACAACCGCGTCAGCCTCATGGAGTTCATGGTGCACACCCTGATCAAGCAAGTGAGTCGGCGATCGACGCCCGCAGGTTGTGGACCCCCACGTCTTGGAATTGCTGCGCAGAGCACGATAAACACCACTCGCGCTTCTTTTTCGGCAGCACTTGCCAACCAGACTTTTGAGAATAGGAGCCGTGCGTGGTATCCAACATCACGGTGCAACGCTCGCCACGTTAAAGTCAAGAGAGCTGTTCTGCTCCGATGTTGAACGTACGATTGTGTTGGGTGTTTTCCTGACGAGCTGTGTTTCAAAGGTCGGCGTGGTGTGGAACATTTTAAGTTCGTCATCGCCTCACCGGCCGAAATCACTCGGATCCATTCGCGCACCACTCGGTTTTTCAGCGATTTTGCCCGGCATAAGTGATTCAATTTTTTTGGGGGGAAAGGGGCGTGTTTACTGCTGCCGAAATTCGACGCTACCATGGGAAATGACTCATCTCTACACTCAAATTTCGGCGTATACCGCTGCATTTTTTCTTCTTCGATTAAGTTATTACTTTTTTCTGGAAGGGAGCGTTTAGGGGAACTTTGTCGACGAGAAAAAAGCATCTCGATGCACTGCTCAGCCCTCGAACTCGGCTTGGTCGGAAATATCTCCGTTTCGAAAACAAACATGAGGAGCTATTCACGGCGGTTTCAGCGAATGAAATAAGTGGGAACGTCATCGACTAAATATTTTGTTTTCTTTTGGAGAACCAAACTTGAAACTCTAGTCAACCGTGTGCCGGGCGCCTCCCATCTCTCACAGAGAGAAGAGATCCGGAGAAGGGACTGAATGGCATCCAGTATGCTCTGCACTGCGCCCTTGCGCTGTAACTCTATGCGCGAGCGTCGTTCGAATCGTCCAGCCTTGATCGCCGGCGCCGACGTCAGTACGCGCTTTTGGGATCCCTCCATGCTGTGAGTTGCCTGTCTACGTGCCTCTGCCTTCGCTAATGTCCTCGCGGTTCACTCGAGAGCCCTTGCGCGCGCGCAAACCGCCCGCTGTTGCAGGAAAAAGTAACCCAGGAGGACATCGAAGAGATTCACACCCGATTCACGGCTCTGGACAAGGACCACAACGGCTTCGTTACGAGGGACGAGATCGGCGAGGAACGCGATAAAGACGGCGACGGTTTCATCGGCGCGGATGAGCTATGATACATCCCTGCCGCTGTTTTTGAAACATCCATGTCGCCGAGTTCCTTGATCTCAATCCCTTGCTGCCGATTCCTTGGTGGTGCTGCCGGGGCGGCTCGCCATCGACGTTAGGAAACGTCACCATTGCTTCCTGCTACGCCGGGCCTCAACGGCTTGAGGGAGCGGAATATTCTCACTTGCTGTTGAACAGCATGTCTATCTCATCGGCGTTGTTCAAGAGACGCTCTTCGTTGCTAGCTTTCGGCGGGTACGTCGAAGGATTTGATGGCAAGCCTGTTGCTGTTGACGGAACGCATCGACGCGTGAGAGCGTTGCTGCTGATGGTGGACCTAATCGACACCTAAGGCAAACCTTACCATTCGTTCGTTGCCCTTGGCGGGTCTAATTGGTAAAACCAGCGTCCGAATGTCTTGTCTTCGGTATAGAGTTACAGGTAGCGCGTGGGATGACTTTCACTGACTTCAACTCGCGGGAATTCACGAGCTTGATTGGATCTTGTTGCGAGGGGTAGAGAGAGGGGACAAGTTACTTCGGCCCGCCACCTTCAAGGGGCATGGAGACGCGATATCGACCGAGGCATTGCTTTGATTGTGCACGATGGTTTTCAATGTTTTTTTTTTCGTAGTACTTGGGAAACAACCTTGCAGGCGAAACCGAAATTCGCCTCTTTGGTTGAAACAAGCCAAGGATCGTTGTTGTCAACTTCACAACAATCGAGACGGACAGCCGTTTCCCCTGTTGAGAGGGAGTTGTGGGTGAGTTTTGCTGGTGTTGGATAGATTCAGCATGTCACACCCGTGTATTGATACTATTGCTGGTTCGTTTGTGGATTGCGAACTAGATATACCGAAAACCAACGCCATGCTGTCGTTCTAGGCGGCAGCATCTACATGTGGACTTCCCTGGTGTCGGAGATTTGTACCTCACGTGGTCACGCTGCTTGTCTCCGTTGCCTTGCGTGGAACGTCGAAGGCTCGTCGTGCGTGAGAGGGAGTGATTCGTGTTGCTACGCGGTCGATGTCAGCAGAGACAAACCGGGTCTTACCACACCACACTCTATAGCAGTGATTTGTTCTGGTTTGTTCCGATAGTTTGTACGTGTGGCGGCGAGAAAGGCTGGGCAGTGCATGCTATGTGTGTTTTTGTCATTCTCCTTCTCCTTGTGATTCGAGTGTTTCGTGTGTGTACACTCTCCAGTATTGTTACTCTCCCTCGCAACGAAAGCCCAGTATTTGATTCTAGGCGATTGTTTTCGTTTTTTGTGCTGCTTTATTCAGTCCAGTTGTATCCTGCCCCCTAACGAAATCGTTGCCTCCGTGTGCTTGCGCGTGGACACGGCACGTTTCTCCATTGGTTATTTTATTATTTTCGATCCAGTCAGGGCGCCGCCGTCGTAAGATTCAGCAGCAGCAGCAGCAGCGGCAGCAGTAGAAGAGGATGACATGGCATAGCTTTCCACCAGACACTCTTTACCCCCGAGGTCTCTCTTGATCGTGTTACAGTGTAGAATACACGGCGTAGAATAGGCCACCGCCGTAGGTTTGGTCAGGGCTTGGTGCTTGTCCCAGACTTCTACGTGTGTTATACTGTCTGCTTGATAGACCACAACGCTTGATTTTCAGAGGTGGGCTCAGGGTCGTGCTTGATGTAGCGCTAGCAGGTGCTACTGCTGTTACTTCGCGGCGTGGAGCGCGTCGAGGGGCGCTTGATTGGCTTCCGAATTTTGGAAATGCGTAGTGCGATGGCTCCGTTGTTCTGCGGCCGGATTTTATTTCCTTTGTGCACGGCCTCTTGTTTACGTGTAGTCCAGGCTACGAAAATGTTGGTTCTTCTGTTCTCGGAGATTTGCCCACTGTTGGGTACCACAGCGGTAGTCTTTATTCCTGCTTGGTTTGTGCTCTTTTAGGGTAGGGAAGGCTTGTGGCGATGGTGCTGCCTATGAGGGCGATGAGAAGGGGGAGGATTGAGGTGGAAGGCGATTTCAGCGGCCACCCCAACGAGGGCAAGATGACAGTTACTATTGTACTATGTAAGCGCTTGTAGAACTTTCAACGTGTGACGGGGTAATCCATCTGTTTTCTTTTTCCTCGGGTGCGTCGTCCGACGGCGATTCGAACGTAAACCTCACAAACTGCTGGCGTGTGAGTTCGAACCTTGGCGCAGTCACATGATCTTTCCTTCTTGTCGCGTTGCCCTACAGATAGAAGTGGGAAGCGGCAAATTCGAGTGTAGGAGGAACTCCACTCAACGTTCGAGGAGGCAAAGAGATGGTCGAATCCTCTGCGCGATAGAAAAAACGTATTAGTAATGGGGAAGGAAGAAGCCAAGCCAATACGATTGCGCGCCCTTACTCTTGCGTGAACGTGACTCGAGTGTCCAAACATGCCGAGAAAGTTTGAAGCTGGCGCCTACAATAAAATGGGATGGCATCACACACGCCCACACGTTAGAACGAATTGACGAAAGCTAAGTGTGGCAAAAGCAAATTAGCTGCATGTTCTTCTTGCCCGCGCTCTGTTCGTGCACACGGGCACACGCGTTTCGACCCCATATATCAGGCGAAAACCAGTCCGTCGGTCAGCCTCCTGGCTTCTTCCGGCTGGGTCTTCGCCAGGATGTCCCGCAGGGTCGCCACGTCTTGTATCAGAGCTCGGCGGTCCATCTCGGCCGCCTGTCCCACGGAGCCGCTCCCTCGCTGCGCGGAGGCAGCCACTTGGAGCCGATCGCTGCCCGGACATGTGGCGAAAATGCGAAAATATTTGGCGGTATGTCACGACAGCACCCGAGATGCAGCCGAAAGGAGGAGTCGTATTCAGGACCAGGCGATATGTTCTACTGTAAGCACAGGCATGCTGAAGGAGGTATGCGAGGAGGATGGAGGGACTCATGGTCGCTGATCATGTTGGATGAAAGGTGCAGACGGCGGGGGTTGTCTCCGTGAGAGAGAACCCGTTCAGACAACCAAAGTTCACGTTCAAACGTGTAGCCCGACCGGCGACAAAGCGCTTGAACACTACATTTTTCTCTCTGAGCTACTGTCGACCAAGCGTACGCATTCGGAGCCAAAGTCTCCATACGCCGACGTTCCGTGTATCTCGTGATGGCCACGAACACGAACACCCCATCAAAAACACGCTCTTCACTTCCCGTCGACCCCCCAGCAGACACACCTGCGGCAAGTGACTCTCACGCTGTCCCCCCCGTCTTCGATAGCCGCGATTAACGCCGCCTTTGCCTTCGTGATGGCTCGGACCTCACTCTCGAGCCACTGAGCCGTCACCCCATCACACTGGAACGTTGATTGCACAACGACGGTACGAAGAAAAATGTAAATGTTTCACGCGTGCCGTCGCAAACATATGGACGCCGAATGGGCAACGTGGTGGCTATGAACACGGATCATCCCATCACCGGCAAAACATCAACGATGAGCAGCGAGCGAACAACACATTCCGATACACAATCAACGCCGCCCGTTCACGTGCTTTTCTGCCACGCGCCCTGAACGCCTAATCATCCACTTCACGATTAATTCGGAACTGTTCCACTCGTATTCGAGATAATGTTGCTCTGCTCCCGCGGAAGAGAAGTTGTTAGCGACGTCGGGAAAAGAAAAGCACTGAATTGGTGTATCTCCACCCTCCCAGAATATGTCAAGCAGCACTCGACATTTCACCACGCACTTAACGAAACCGCTGGCTTTCGTCTGCCTACGTTAAAGTCGACCACACGAACGTGCCTGCTTCAGCCGCATCTGACGCCCCAAGATCGATAGCTGAGCCCCCACGCGGATGTCGACAGTGCCCACCTTTCCATACCTGGTTGCGGCAGTTACACGAAAGTGGGAACAATGATATTGCTGGATTGGCACGGACCTTGTGCGGAGTGAATGGAAGGGCCAGAGGGCGAACGTCGACCGAAGACGTTTGCTCTTACGAGCAACGAACGCGCCGTGCAACGCGGGCATTCAGAGTCGCAACAAGTGTACAAACAACGAATAAATGTAGCCAAGCGACGCCGTGATGCTGAGAGTTTCTTCTGTCTTGAAACTACATTCTTCGGTTGACAGTTTAGCATGTACAAGGTAGGGGGTACGGCGATGGTTTGTACCATGAAAAACCATAATCCATACTCGTCGTCAGGTCAGTGATCTTGCATCCCCCAAAAAGCCGGAACCGGGCCCGAAAGGCCGGGTTTGTCGGTTCAAGTGGTTGCGTGCAACTGCCTCTGCCTACGTCGACCGCGAAAGCTTTATTCACGCAGATTTGCTGGTGTCGTTGGAACCACATATTTAGTGATTTTGCAGACCTGAAAAAACGTCGTCACAATAATATATCAACTCCATGGAAGAGGCACCTCCCGTAAAGGTCATCATTTTCATGAGCCTCCGCGGCGGTATGTCGGCGAGCAACTCTCTCCAATGCTTGTCTGTGTCTGTCTCGGAAACAGCCAAGGCCAGCAAACGGACACAAAGAGCTGCTCACCTCCCCGTGGCGTGCGAGACCTCGAAAATGGCCGGGACGTCCTCAAGTTCCACCTCGAGGGATCCGTTGGCTGCAGAGTATCGTATGGAGGCGTGCTTGCGGTTGACGGTGTTCTCTGTCCCGGTTGTGGTCTCCTGTCTCGGACGAGATCCGGTACAATAGCATTCCGGGGAGTCGGAAGGCTTATGTTAGTGCTGATCTCGGAGATGGACTCAACCTACAAGAGGCTGTGGCCCGGTGTGGAGATGTGGAACGTTGTATACTCGTGGTAGAGCGAGAAGCGAGACGCGAATGCACGCGTGATGCAGACATGTGGGGTACGGTTGCATGATTTGAAGGTACGTGAGAGAGCGCAGGACCAAGCGTTCAACCGGAAAATACAACCCAAGGCTGTACTATCGACCGTACGCCCACCAGACACTATTCAATAAAAGGGAGCCGAGAAGATGGAGAAATGTTGGTGGACCGGTTGGCGGTGGACATCGATTTCTTGCGAGTAAGGGGACATTTTTCCAAGATGATATCTGGGTAGTCAGTAGTTTGAGTGCATCTATCGCTTACCAATAGCAGTTTTGCTGTTCTGATGCACGTTGTAGATCTGGTGAGTGTCTGTTCATCCGCGATGGTGGTCTGGAGAACGGTTCAATCGCGTGAGGTTCGAGATTATTGTTTTCTAGACGAGTCTTCCTGCGGGTAAGCTGGTCTGTGAGTAGGAGGTAACTGTTGTCGGCTTGAAAAAGCGTCGAAGACCGACTTGGGGGAAACAGCTTGCCGGCGGCAGTCTGGCCCAAGGCTTCAAATAAGCATCAGCAAAGTGTTTGTCGGCTTCCCCGTGTCCAGCACCTGAAAAAAGAAGGACATGGGTGAGGACAACGAGGCCTATCACGAAAAAGGATGATATCTGACTGCGGTGCGGCTGGAAGAACATCTCCTCACGTGCCACCAAGAAGTAAAGACCAGCCACTTAGGTGGGGGCGTCCTCCGCTTGCCACCCTTGCGTCCCGGACTCGGCGCGCGCTTTTGGTGAGTCGATCTTCGGGCTGCCCCGTTGTCTAGTTCTTCCTCGGCTAAACTCGACGCCGCCACCGTACCGCTGCCCGCCTCTGGCTTTTCCCTGCGCACCACCCGCACCTTACTGCAAACATGTCGGGAGCACAACAATCGGACGTGTTAGTACCCCACCGAGTCAGTCTTGCACGACCACCGTACTCATGCAGAACGTTGTATTTCTCAGCTTGCCCAAATCTAAGCAGCAAGGCTCTGTCACCGTTGTAGAGGCACGAGCAGCCCTCCATATGGAACACACACACCCATATCACCTGCTGTTGTTTGTACCGGAATCGGTGGTTGACGCCACCGGTTGTTCGTCGTCCATGGCGGCGGTGTCGTCGTGGATAGTGCTAACTCTAGGAGCACTGCCTTGACCTGCGTGGCGATCTTCCTCCGGGTGGGTAGTTGTCAACGGGAACGACCAATCCATGGTGTCAATGATGCATTTGTGTTTGCTGTTATTGGCCTTTGGCGACGTGCCGGACACCACCACAACTTCTCCGCGACGCTGACGCTGGTTGCTGACCCTCTGCTGCTCAACGGCGCGGAGAAAGTACGGCGTCCCCGGGTGCGTACACGTCCGTTCTCTCGTTAACCGGTTGACGTACTCCAGCTTGGGGGCGATGGTTGACGCAGGCAGGTTGGCTTCGCTGTCGGCGGTGTGGCTAGTGGTGCTGCCAGTGGTCGTGAAGCGTGACGATCTAGATGTTGTTTGGCCGGCGCCAATCTCCTCGATTGTCCACGTAGGTGGTAACGGAGTAGTCTGCATCTCCGACACGATATGCCTGATTCACCGAGCGTTTTGTGGCACGATGGTGGGTCTTACGGGGCTAACGTTTGGCGATAACATCATCAAGTGTTGCGAAAGCAACAGACGGCAGGACATCGAGGGTACTCAGCATCTTCGTGGAAGATGCTATTTCTGGTTGATGTGCTTGTAGCATGACGGGCGTCACGCAAAATCTCTCTGTGGCTCAGCTCCTTGGGTTTAGGTGAGGTGGAGAAATGGGTGTCACTGTGCACAACTTCCTTTACTCACGTTAACTCTGGCTCCGATTCCAGATTGACTCCTATCAACTTCGCGATGGCTTCTAGCGAAGGCATTGGAGGTGGCTTCGGCTTCGATTGTACGACCGCAGAGTTCCGTGCGGCAATCATTGCCTTGGATGTGCCGCCAGGAATCGCGCACCCAGTCTTCTACGGCCCCGATATGTGGCACAACAAAAGCCTTCTTTGGATTTGTTTCTTCCCTGTCCACTCGAAGCGGCTTCAGTCGGGGCGGCCTCCGTACTTTGGTTGCTTTGCCCTAGCGGGGCTTCGTGGTTGCTGCTCAGTAGGCGGTTGAGAAGCACGCGGAAGGATTTCACAATCCTGCGTACATGTTCGGCAAACGCACTTTGTAGAACCATCAGGATGTTTGGAGGTATTGGGCTACTGGGTAGAGATCCGGAGTGAGAGCATGCTGAAAAGATTAAGATTCAGATTGCCCAACACCGGCTGTGAGCGGCTAATCGCGATTGCCAGCATCGCTTACTCGACGGAGATGATGGCAAACTCCTTTGCTGGATTGATGGAGATGTCGCCACCTTCGTGTGCACTGAAATTTCGACACACAACAAAGGGAATATACAATTGTAAGTGACCAACCCACGGAATCTGGTCAAGATGCAGCTGCTTGATGTCGATATCGCACAGAGCTCTCGGCGGTTTCACGGAGTTGCAAATAAAGGAGGCATTTTGGTTCTTCTGTTCTTCATACATATTGGAGAGTGGAGAGCCTCGTCGATGGCACTTCGCCACTGCGCGGCAACTCCTGCGTGATATGGTTGCCCCACCGATCACTGCTGTCGCAGTCTTTACCCTCTTCTCGGGCATTTCACTCGCCTGGCAAGCTCCGACCTCTACTCGCAGCAGCACAAACTCCTTGGTATCAAGGGCATTCTTCGTCTGTCGGGCCAGGTGTGGGTCCGCTGCCCCATTCATGCGTCGCCGCTGTGCAGCGACTCAGCATAACAGGCGAGCTTGTTTCGTCCTTGGTTGCTTTGCCTGGGTGTGCTGCATTTCTGTAAGGCGTCTTGCTCATGTGTTGGATGTTGGTGTCGGTCGTTTCCGCTTTGTCCTCTCCGGTCGACATCTCCGTAGATGTATGCTGAGTTGTTTGGGCCATGTCCCCAATATCCATGGTTGTACGCCACCAGAGGGACAAAAGCGTATGCATAGGACATGTCTCAATGGTGCTGAAGGTGCTTCAACAAAAGAGCAAAATCATCACCAGTGGCAAGCGGCGTCCAATGTCAAGGTCGTAAACGTTGAACCGAAAAAGTGGGGGTAATTCTTTCGTGTCCCAGTATAAAAACACCAAAGGCAAATAGGTTCGGTATTTGTTCTGGATCTGCTTGTCGTGTCGGCGTGTCGGAAATCTTTGGTAAGCTGAAAATGAATGCAATCCATACATACATGCGCAGAGTGTCCCTTTTGTGGCGTAGGGTTGTTTGTCACCTACGGTTAATAGTTAATGCGAACAGTGTACTGGCTCTCTCCCCACCAATGTTACATTTTTGTTCGTTTTCTCTTGCAGGTAAGGCGTGTTGATCTTAGGCGTTGTATTGTCGAAGCGTCGAAAATCAAAATCGAAACGGAACGAAAATCAAAATCGAAACGCGTTATCGCGGAAATCTGAAATAAGGGGGTCGACCGTGTCATCGTGGATAGGAGACAGATGGGGCAAAAAATCAAAAAGACCTGGCGCCGGGGGAAGAGGCAGCAGCGAAGCGGTGATTCTTCTAGGGTAGGTTTTGCGCTCTTCTGTTAACGTGTTAGCCGATATCTCGCCAAATTTAGAACGACATGCCTCAAGAACGGTATCCGGAAGGAGCTGGCAACAGGGCTATTGGGCAATGGCAAGGTTTGGCGCCGTGAGGTACCCAATGCGCCGGAAAGAAAAGGTTGTACTGAAGCAAAAATGCCAACGGTCGCGATCGGTCACTTTAAGTTCGGTGTTTTTGGCCGCCACGGGGGTGGTTTTCCACCGACACCTTCCCGAAGGAGGAAGCAACGGCAACAGCAACGCCACTAGACGAGAGGTACCTCTCTTCTCCATCTTTCAAGCCCAAGGTCTGCTGCCGTGGGATATCATGCGTATCGAGAAAAAAGTTTTGGTTGACCCTGCCACATCCACGTCAGAGAGCGATTGGTTCAAGTTCGCGCCGATTGTCTGCTCACAGTTTTAGATTTCCAGCAATAACTTTTCGAAGGAGGAAGCAACAGCACCAGCAATGCCACGCGGCGGGAGGTAGCTCTACCCACCATCTTCCTCGTACAAGGTTAGATGCCTTGGGGTATCGTGAGTGTGGAGAAAAAAGGTTGCAACCATCGTCTCCCGCACGGAACAGCCCGAAAAAGCCGCGCAGCCCTGTTTTCATCGTCAGTCGATTCACCGCTTGTCACGATCGGCATTTTCTCCTCGAGCACCCGACGAGCCGGCCCGGTTTTGGGCTTGCCGGCGAGGATAGTCTTCTGGCTAGAAAGAATGGCCACGGTCTCCGTGGCAGGGTGCCGATGGCCCCTCTATGAGCAGTGTACAGCAGGTCGTGTCGTGCACTTTCTTTGCAGCGGCCTCGCGGCAGGTGCTCCAACTTCGAAGCCTTGAACCCCTCACCTCTTTGATTTTGATTTTGATAAAAAAAAGTCCCTCGGGGACTTATTAGAGAAAGGAATGTTCATAAAATCAAAGGGCGTCGTCCGGAGGTATGAGTGTTTCGACCAATCAGAGCTCGATTATTTTATTATTATTTTTTTTTTTGGCGCTTCGTTAATACACGGCCATAGCTATCGCCAGAACACCTCCTTTTTTTCGTAAGTTGACATACAACCAGCGACCCAGCGACTGGGGTACGACAACAGCTTCAACAGGCTTGCACAGAGCGACCGGCGTTGTGTACACGTACATACGCGCCAACACCGTCGAACCTATAAATTTGACCGAGGCTCGTTTCTGTGGTAAGCACCCTCTGCAACACATGTAGATTTTAGTGTGTAGGCTTCTTGACCGAGCACCTGTTATTTTGCCCACCTTGTTTGGTTTTGGTTTGTTGAGGCTCAAGTCCTTAATTGCTAACATTCTTGGAACGTTTTTTGTTCGAAGTGCCTACTTCTGTTTTGTTTTTCGCGTCCCATAGGGCGATGAAGGCGGCCACGACTTCCGGCTTTGGCGTGAATATGAGGGGAAATGCAGAGGGCCATCGAGCTTTCGTCGACAAGTTGCTGACGCTCACCGGGGACCCCCTCGAGGAGGTACGGACGGGGACCCGCACATGCTGGTGGTGTACTGTGCGGTCATTTATCATCCTCCTTTCGCCGCCAAGCCTTAGTGTTGCTGTCGTCGGTATGCGTTCGCTTTTCTCTCTGTTTTCCGGAGCATCCACGATGCGTCAGTGACTCTGCCGATCTCTCTCTCTCTCTTTATCTCTCTCTCTCTCTCTCTCTCTCTCTCTCTCTCTCTCTCTCTCTCTCTCT